TGATCCATTCTCTGGTTGTGATTATACTTCACTAACCTCATCTTCCCTACATACACCTACATCCACGACCATGCTTTTTCCTTTTGTGTTCAAGACCCTGCAACAGTTTCTTCTTGGAGACTGCCAAAAAACAATTCAAAACAATCAATGAATCAGAAATTGCAAGTGATGACTTCACCGGAATGTAAGCAATAACCTGAAAGTTTCTATCAGTGTTTTCGGAGTGTATATGTTGTCAACATAACTTTATGGGTAGTCATTGCCTATCTGGATATGACTTTGCCGACCAAATAAGTAGTTTCACAACAAAACTAAGATTATGTGTTCCAGGATTTGAAGAACATATGTTTGATAATGGTGGTTTAGATCAAAGTTAACAACTAAGAGATGAATTGTTGCATACCCTGTCCCATAGATGTGGATCAGGCTTCTTATAAACCACCACTCTGTCAAGTTCCGCAGGATCTGCCATCTTCCAGTGGCACTCCAGATAAGGAACCTGATGCCGAGTATATTCACTCACTGATTGTATTTTCACAGAATCTAATCTCGCCCATGACAAATAATACACAAAGGGCTTCTGACAAGGGTTTCTCATAACTGGACGTGTGTTGAATGCATAGGCCGTGTAATCTGCTCTCCTGTACCAATTCAAGAATGTCCTTGATGGCATTTCAATCTCACGGGGCGACAAGACTCCCCGAAATATTTGAATTGCAAAGCCCCAAGAAACTGAAACTGTCCAACTCCTTGCTTTGTCATAGCAAATGGATTGTTGCATGAGACCTGCTGAATCAATCTTCATTGGGAGTTTAAGCCGCTGTAGAGCTTGCAGTCGTGTCACATTGGGGAAGATAGGCTCCACCACATCAAGGTGGTGCAACGACACCAATGGTGTCACTGGGTGGGCTGCCAGGAGCCCGAATAAATTCCCATACACATCATACTGAATCGATGCATATCCACCAAGAAGGAATTCAGCAAAATAATCTTTCATAACCATTATCAGACATTTACGAAATCATCAACCTAAAATTAAATAAATTCCTCTACTGCTAGGCAGACCATGCAGTTAATGAAGAGTGAATGATGCATTATATAGGCTGGTGTTAATTTGTATAATGTAGGACAAATAGATTGAACAAAACATGGTCTACTGAAAAACTAGTAAGGTATGACTCAATGGGATCAAAATTACAACCCAATTAGATTCAAAAAAGTTGGAGTCTGTATCGTAATGTCGAGATTGATCTAAATCAACTCTATTGAGTCATAAGACCATTTGAATTGTAGCTTGATCCGATTGAATAGTAACTTCTTGCTACAATGGGACTGCAAAATAAGTAATAGTACGGTCGTTTCTACTTGATACTTAATGAATCACTGTCAATGAAGCCTGTTGCTTCATTAGTACTACTCAAAAAAACACTTTTATGTTTTTAGTAGCAGTAATTCAATGCCAAAATAATGCTAAGTTGGAAGATTTTTCATGATTCTACGTAAATGTTCTGCATAGAGAATGTGAACAAGAACAGCACTTTATAGCCTGGCGCATCACATTGTCGGTGAAACCCCAATTCAAGCAAAAGCAACCAAAACACAAAATCAAAAACACCCCAAACACAAAAGCAAGAAAACCCAAAACAAGAAAGTAGCACAGACCTGGTGGAAACCGAGTTCTTTGGTGAGTGGAACACCGAGTTCAGCCATACAAGCCTGCATTCTATCATCAGAGCCGTACAACCCAGGGTACCTTTGAATACACTGATCTTGCATTTTGTCAAGAGCCTTTGCTAATGGATAACTTATTGCAAACCCACCACCACCATAAGCCATACTATAAGAAAAATAAATGTTCTGCAAGTGACTCTCACTTAAGCTCCCAATGTAATAGAACTGATTATGATCATACTTGTTCAATATTCTAACTAAATTCTCGATAGCAAAGACTGTATCATCATCGCCCATCACAAACCACTTCACATTCTCCATTCCTAGCCTTAGTGTCTCAGATACGATCCGAGAAATCCGAATCGCCGACCGGTGACCCTGCCGGTTCTTGTAGGCAAAATGAGAGGTGTTGCCGGAGATTTTTATCGGTGGAAGACCCTCATTTTTGGAGTTGTTTACTGGCTTATCTAGCCATACTATGCCTCTCATTTCTTCGGGTTTCCACCAAAGCTTTATGTAGTTCTTTCTCTTTTCCCAAAGTTTCGCCGAGGCTGCAATGCCGAAAACGATGTCTTTGAGCTCTGTTTTTTGGTGGGTTTTGGGGATTTTTTCACTAGAAAACATGGTTTGATTTTGCAGGAAATAATTTGATGGGATTGTTGAGTTGGGTTTTCCTGATGTTGATGATGAATGTATCAGTACAGATTTTCGATTGGGTTTGCTGAAGATATCATCGTCACAAGCGCGTGAAGACCCAACAAGCTTCAGAGTGTAGACGACGTAGGTGGCGGAGACGAAGAGGATGAGCCAGAGCAAGAGCTTGGGCAAGGCTCGATTTTGTGAGCCAGTGACCGGAATGGCTTTGCACGAGGAGCTTCTCATCTGATCCCAAAGTAGTTTCTCTGAATCTTTCTGGTTCACTTTCATGTTTTGGAGCTAAAGAAAAAATATAGGCCTGAAAAAAGATCTAAGAAAAATGGTTTGGATTTTCTCGTAAAATCTTTGCTTGATTCGGGAGAGACTCATCAGATCTGTGAGATAGAGTTGTGGGTTTTCAATATTTCTCAAGAAAATTTTTAGTGGAGACTGGGAAGACAAAACCAATGCAGATCGACTGAAATCAATCTAAGAAAGAAGAACGGGGAAGAGAGTGGAGAAGGGGGTGTTTCCAGGAAAGAGAAAACAGAGCATCCATTGCTGCCAGCTTGCACACCGTCCTAGATAGAACTGCGAAGAGTCTACTTGTACCTTTGATATTATACGATAATATCTATATATATATATATATATATATATTTATAGACATATAGGTATATTTATATGTTTCATTGATATAATAAATACATGTATATGAATTTTTTCGGTGAGGAAGACCTAGGGTCAAAGTACTTAGATTTCTGAAACATATAGAAGGAGAACATCATGATGTTGATGAGATAATTTCTAGGTGTCTTCTGTCGGTTCAATTGAAGACGTCACTGTGGCTGATTAGTTTGACACTTTGACTCCAAGTTTGATACGTGTAATGCTAGAGAGATACAAATTTACTTGTATTAGTCGATGAACAGAGATTAATACAAATATCTGCAAATTTAAGGTGAATCTAAGACGGATACAGCTATTTCAGAAAATAAAATGTTAATGGGTATAAATGAGTTGTATTATTATTTTACTAAATTAGTTCCCTTTTTTGTTGCCTTAAATGTCTAATAGGAACAAAAAAAAAAAAAAAGACGTGGGATTAGTTATGTGTGGTTGGAATCATTAACAATTAGTTAGCACTATTTTGCATTTATGAATTCTGTTGCATTTATTCGAAAAGGGTGATGCTAAAATAACCATAAATAAGACAAAAAATAATAAACTAAATGATGTGATTCTTTTATAATTATACTTTTAATTTTAATTTTATTTATCATGTCAATTGTCACAGTATTTAATCACTATTTTTAATCTTATTTTTTAGTCTGTATAGCATTATTTATTCAAAATTTTAGTCTCGGAGGTGCGAACCATTACATCAACTAGGGGTGCAACTCGGGCGGGTTAAACAATCAATTTTAGGCCAACCTTAGATATATATTCTTCAATTCTAACCCTAACCCTAATCTTACCTCCTCAACCCGAGCACTGCTCGAGTTTAATTCAGGCGAGCTCGGATTGAATTTGGATTCACTACAAGAGAGACAGAGAGAGGGGGAAACAATTACAAATTCATAAAACAATCTATATATTTCATTCATAACAGTGCACAATTATTGATCATTTGCTTTCACACCAAAAAACTAGTGATTTCAAAGCACAATTCCAGAAAACATAGAAATTAGACCCATAAAAACATTAAACTTAAAACATCACTCTATCACCACTAATCACGCGTAATAAAGTAGCAAGCAACAAGAAACAGAGGATGATGGAGTAAAATTGAAAAAAAGTGCTAATGTTATATATATATAATTTTAACTCAAGCTTAATCCAAATATTAAAAATTTTATCTCAGATCCTAATTTTTAAATTAGACTCGGATTTAAATTGGGTTGTCCAATCCAAGTTACACCCATAATATCAACACTTGTATCTAATTTTTACTTGGACCAGTAAACTCATCCTCAATCAATTATGGTCATTTAGCCCAATATCCNTTCTCGAGTTAATTCTCTCAATAGATCATCCGCGGTGAATTCAAATTGAACATACTGTGTCCTCAACACTCTAATGTTCCATAAGGAATCCTTGGCCATCTCAACTTCAGTCATTCTTCTTCACCTTCACCGAATATTCAGCAACAATGCTGCATTAATGCATCTAGGACTAGGATAAAACTGGCCGAACTTGCAGACAGAAATAATGAATATGAATAACAGCAAATGCCCACAATGTATCTATTAAATAAGTCAACAACCACCCCGATGTATTCGATTCCAGTCACCATCCATCTAAAAATAAAATCAACTTCATAGCCGACTAGCCTTTTGCTACTTCAGGGAAATCGATCTCAATCTTTTATGATTGATCATGTCTTTTAAAATTATAATTTACATCCCAAAAAAATTATAAATTTGCGTTAAAAAATTATAAATTTTAAGACTGATACCGCCGCGGTACCATTTCCTTTCCCTAATTTCAAAGCATGTCTTTGAGCATCTACGTTCAACAGTCACATGCCACTGTCCTGGGAACCCTAACCTTCAAGAAGCATATGGCCTTAAGTGTCAGGTCAACAGATATTCATCTTTCACCTCACATAAGCACATAACATGCCCAAATTAACACAAAGACTATTGAATTTAGAAACTTTAGCTGAACTAAAGCATCTTATGTATTGTAAAGAATAGACTAGCAGTTTTGTACATTCACAATTTTTTTTTCTAGTGATTGTTCGTCAGTGGAACTGGGAAGGTCCTTGCAAGAAAGTTCAATGGCCATAAATTAACAAATTAATAAGAAATATAGCACTAAGAATCAAAATAAACAAGGTGAAATACAAGAATAACAGACCTAGTGTGCGATCATCACTTTAATAAGTGAAGAAAGTATGCTCTCTTTTCCTGAGAGTTCATCTTGCTCTAGTATTTTCCTCTTGTTTCGTCTACTAATCCTACTTCTCTCTCTGTTGAGTACCTTTGAAATGCTGCTGCCTTACTCTTCCTTCTCCCTCCTAACACCCCTGGTATAAGTTCTAGGAAAAGAGAGTCCATCTGTACCCTGATCCATTCTCTGGTTGTGATTATACTTCACTAACCTCATCTTCCCTACATACACCTACATCCACGACCATGCTTTTTCCTTTTGTGTTCAAGACCCTGCAACAGTTTCTTCTTGGAGACTGCCAAAAAACAATTCAAAACAATCAATGAATCAGAAATTGCAAGTGATGACTTCACCGGAATGTAAGCAATAACCTGAAAGTTTCTATCAGTGTTTTCGGAGTGTATATGTTGTCAACATAACTTTATGGGTAGTCATTGCCTATCTGGATATGACTTTGCCGACCAAATAAGTAGTTTCACAACAAAACTAAGATTATGTGTTCCAGGATTTGAAGAACATATGTTTGATAATGGTGGTTTAGATCAAAGTTAACAACTAAGAGATGAATTGTTGCATACCCTGTCCCATAGATGTGGATCAGGCTTCTTATAAACCACCACTCTGTCAAGTTCCGCAGGATCTGCCATCTTCCAGTGGCACTCCAGATAAGGAACCTGATGCCGAGTATATTCACTCACTGATTGTATTTTCACAGAATCTAATCTCGCCCATGACAAATAATACACAAAGGGCTTCTGACAAGGGTTTCTCATAACTGGACGTGTGTTGAATGCATAGGCCGTGTAATCTGCTCTCCTGTACCAATTCAAGAATGTCCTTGATGGCATTTCAATCTCACGGGGCGACAAGACTCCCCGAAATATTTGAATTGCAAAGCCCCAAGAAACTGAAACTGTCCAACTCCTTGCTTTGTCATAGCAAATGGATTGTTGCATGAGACCTGCTGAATCAATCTTCATTGGGAGTTTAAGCCGCTGTAGAGCTTGCAGTCGTGTCACATTGGGGAAGATAGGCTCCACCACATCAAGGTGGTGCAACGACACCAATGGTGTCACTGGGTGGGCTGCCAGGAGCCCGAATAAATTCCCATACACATCATACTGAATCGATGCATATCCACCAAGAAGGAATTCAGCAAAATAATCTTTCATAACCATTATCAGACATTTACGAAATCATCAACCTAAAATTAAATAAATTCCTCTACTGCTAGGCAGACCATGCAGTTAATGAAGAGTGAATGATGCATTATATAGGCTGGTGTTAATTTGTATAATGTAGGACAAATAGATTGAACAAAACATGGTCTACTGAAAAACTAGTAAGGTATGACTCAATGGGATCAAAATTACAACCCAATTAGATTCAAAAAAGTTGGAGTCTGTATCGTAATGTCGAGATTGATCTAAATCAACTCTATTGAGTCATAAGACCATTTGAATTGTAGCTTGATCCGATTGAATAGTAACTTCTTGCTACAATGGGACTGCAAAATAAGTAATAGTACGGTCGTTTCTACTTGATACTTAATGAATCACTGTCAATGAAGCCTGTTGCTTCATTAGTACTACTCAAAAAAACACTTTTATGTTTTTAGTAGCAGTAATTCAATGCCAAAATAATGCTAAGTTGGAAGATTTTTCATGATTCTACGTAAATGTTCTGCATAGAGAATGTGAACAAGAACAGCACTTTATAGCCTGGCGCATCACATTGTCGGTGAAACCCCAATTCAAGCAAAAGCAACCAAAACACAAAATCAAAAACACCCCAAACACAAAAGCAAGAAAACCCAAAACAAGAAAGTAGCACAGACCTGGTGGAAACCGAGTTCTTTGGTGAGTGGAACACCGAGTTCAGCCATACAAGCCTGCATTCTATCATCAGAGCCGTACAACCCAGGGTACCTTTGAATACACTGATCTTGCATTTTGTCAAGAGCCTTTGCTAATGGATAACTTATTGCAAACCCACCACCACCATAAGCCATACTATAAGAAAAATAAATGTTCTGCAAGTGACTCTCACTTAAGCTCCCAATGTAATAGAACTGATTATGATCATACTTGTTCAATATTCTAACTAAATTCTCGATAGCAAAGACTGTATCATCATCGCCCATCACAAACCACTTCACATTCTCCATTCCTAGCCTTAGTGTCTCAGATACGATCCGAGAAATCCGAATCGCCGACCGGTGACCCTGCCGGTTCTTGTAGGCAAAATGAGAGGTGTTGCCGGAGATTTTTATCGGTGGAAGACCCTCATTTTTGGAGTTGTTTACTGGCTTATCTAGCCATACTATGCCTCTCATTTCTTCGGGTTTCCACCAAAGCTTTATGTAGTTCTTTCTCTTTTCCCAAAGTTTCGCCGAGGCTGCAATGCCGAAAACGATGTCTTTGAGCTCTGTTTTTTGGTGGGTTTTGGGGATTTTTTCACTAGAAAACATGGTTTGATTTTGCAGGAAATAATTTGATGGGATTGTTGAGTTGGGTTTTCCTGATGTTGATGATGAATGTATCAGTACAGATTTTCGATTGGGTTTGCTGAAGATATCATCGTCACAAGCGCGTGAAGACCCAACAAGCTTCAGAGTGTAGACGACGTAGGTGGCGGAGACGAAGAGGATGAGCCAGAGCAAGAGCTTGGGCAAGGCTCGATTTTGTGAGCCAGTGACCGGAATGGCTTTGCACGAGGAGCTTCTCATCTGATCCCAAAGTAGTTTCTCTGAATCTTTCTGGTTCACTTTCATGTTTTGGAGCTAAAGAAAAAATATAGGCCTGAAAAAAGATCTAAGAAAAATGGTTTGGATTTTCTCGTAAAATCTTTGCTTGATTCGGGAGAGACTCATCAGATCTGTGAGATAGAGTTGTGGGTTTTCAATATTTCTCAAGAAAATTTTTAGTGGAGACTGGGAAGACAAAACCAATGCAGATCGACTGAAATCAATCTAAGAAAGAAGAACGGGGAAGAGAGTGGAGAAGGGGGTGTTTCCAGGAAAGAGAAAACAGAGCATCCATTGCTGCCAGCTTGCACACCGTCCTAGATAGAACTGCGAAGAGTCTACTTGTACCTTTGATATTATACGATAATATCTATATATATATATATATATATATATTTATAGACATATAGGTATATTTATATGTTTCATTGATATAATAAATACATGTATATGAATTTTTTCGGTGAGGAAGACCTAGGGTCAAAGTACTTAGATTTCTGAAACATATAGAAGGAGAACATCATGATGTTGATGAGATAATTTCTAGGTGTCTTCTGTCGGTTCAATTGAAGACGTCACTGTGGCTGATTAGTTTGACACTTTGACTCCAAGTTTGATACGTGTAATGCTAGAGAGATACAAATTTACTTGTATTAGTCGATGAACAGAGATTAATACAAATATCTGCAAATTTAAGGTGAATCTAAGACGGATACAGCTATTTCAGAAAATAAAATGTTAATGGGTATAAATGAGTTGTATTATTATTTTACTAAATTAGTTCCCTTTTTTGTTGCCTTAAATGTCTAATAGGAACAAAAAAAAAAAAAAAGACGTGGGATTAGTTATGTGTGGTTGGAATCATTAACAATTAGTTAGCACTATTTTGCATTTATGAATTCTGTTGCATTTATTCGAAAAGGGTGATGCTAAAATAACCATAAATAAGACAAAAAATAATAAACTAAATGATGTGATTCTTTTATAATTATACTTTTAATTTTAATTTTATTTATCATGTCAATTGTCACAGTATTTAATCACTATTTTTAATCTTATTTTTTAGTCTGTATAGCATTATTTATTCAAAATTTTAGTCTCGGAGGTGCGAACCATTACATCAACTAGGGGTGCAACTCGGGCGGGTTAAACAATCAATTTTAGGCCAACCTTAGATATATATTCTTCAATTCTAACCCTAACCCTAATCTTACCTCCTCAACCCGAGCACTGCTCGAGTTTAATTCAGGCGAGCTCGGATTGAATTTGGATTCACTACAAGAGAGACAGAGAGAGGGGGAAACAATTACAAATTCATAAAACAATCTATATATTTCATTCATAACAGTGCACAATTATTGATCATTTGCTTTCACACCAAAAAACTAGTGATTTCAAAGCACAATTCCAGAAAACATAGAAATTAGACCCATAAAAACATTAAACTTAAAACATCACTCTATCACCACTAATCACGCGTAATAAAGTAGCAAGCAACAAGAAACAGAGGATGATGGAGTAAAATTGAAAAAAAGTGCTAATGTTATATATATATAATTTTAACTCAAGCTTAATCCAAATATTAAAAATTTTATCTCAGATCCTAATTTTTAAATTAGACTCGGATTTAAATTGGGTTGTCCAATCCAAGTTACACCCATAATATCAACACTTGTATCTAATTTTTACTTGGACCAGTAAACTCATCCTCAATCAATTATGGTCATTTAGCCCAATATCCTGGGCCTGTTTAGGCAATTTTATTCTAACCCTGGTTTGAATTAACCCTGTTTTGGGGCTTCTAACCCTGTCCCTCCTAGAGCTTAATAGATGAGCCCAAGGTGGGGCTGCAAATATTGGCCCATAAAATCGTTGCTCGACTGTGACAAAAAAAAAAAAAAATTGTTGCCTGACATGGGTAGAACCACAAGAAATGCTCCCTTGGCCCATGATTATGGGCCTGCTCGGGGTTTCTGGGCTCATTTTGAATCCGTAACAGATAGCATAATAGATGGGCCAAGGGTGGGTTTGCGAAGATTGGCCCCAGAAAGTCGGTTTACAAGACATGGTTAGTATCACGTGCAATCAAGTTCTGGAGAAGAAATTCGGCTCGGCTCCTACTGGTTCTGCTTAGGGATAATAATTTTGGAATCAATACCACGATACGATTCGAATTCGATTGTAATTCGTCACAAACTTAAAAATAATTCGACATATAAACACAAAATATAAACAGTTCATATTCGGATTCAACTTGTTAAATCCGAAATTAACACCATTAATTCATTTATTTAAGAATTTATACTTTCTCTATTTTTCATTTGTATGGTACCACGAATAACACGATCAATATGTTTAATTAGTATATAGAAATAAAATATTAATTATTTGTAACGGTTTATTAAGTACTGACATAATTANGTACCCTGATCCATTCTCTGGTTGTGATTATACTTCACTAACCTCATCTTCCCTACATACACCTACATCCACGACCATGCTTTTTCCTTTTGTGTTCAAGACCCTGCAACAGTTTCTTCTTGGAGACTGCCAAAAAACAATTCAAAACAATCAATGAATCAGAAATTGCAAGTGATGACTTCACCGGAATGTAAGCAATAACCCGAAAGTTTCTATCAGTGTTTTCGGAGTGTATATGTTGTCAACATAACTTTATGGGTAGTCATTGCCTATCTGGATATGACTTTGCCGACCAAATAAGTAGTTTCACAACAAAACTAAGATTATGTGTTCCAGGATTTGAAGAACATATGTTTGATAATGGTGGTTTAGATCAAAGTTAACAACTAAGAGATGAATTGTTGCATACCCTGTCCCATAGATGTGGATCAGGCTTCTTATAAACCACCACTCTGTCAAGTTCCGCAGGATCTGCCATCTTCCAGTGGCACTCCAGATAAGGAACCTGATGCCGAGTATATTCACTCACTGATTGTATTTTCACAGAATCTAATCTCGCCCATGACAAATAATACACAAAGGGCTTCTGACAAGGGTTTCTCATAACTGGACGTGTGTTGAATGCATAGGCCGTGTAATCTGCTCTCCTGTACCAATTCAAGAATGTCCTTGATGGCATTTCAATCTCACGGGGCGACAAGACTCCCCGAAATATTTGAATTGCAAAGCCCCAAGAAACTGAAACTGTCCAACTCCTTGCTTTGTCATAGCAAATGGATTGTTGCATGAGACCTGCTGAATCAATCTTCATTGGGAGTTTAAGCCGCTGTAGAGCTTGCAGTCGTGTCACATTGGGGAAGATAGGCTCCACCACATCAAGGTGGTGCAACGACACCAATGGTGTCACTGGGTGGGCTGCCAGGAGCCCGAATAAATTCCCATACACATCATACTGAATCGATGCATATCCACCAAGAAGGAATTCAGCAAAATAATCTTTCATAACCATTATCAGACATTTACGAAATCATCAACCTAAAATTAAATAAATTCCTCTACTGCTAGGCAGACCATGCAGTTAATGAAGAGTGAATGATGCATTATATAGGCTGGTGTTAATTTGTATAATGTAGGACAAATAGATTGAACAAAACATGGTCTACTGAAAAACTAGTAAGGTATGACTCAATGGGATCAAAATTACAACCCAATTAGATTCAAAAAAGTTGGAGTCTGTATCGTAATGTCGAGATTGATCTAAATCAACTCTATTGAGTCATAAGACCATTTGAATTGTAGCTTGATCCGATTGAATAGTAACTTCTTGCTACAATGGGACTGCAAAATAAGTAATAGTACGGTCGTTTCTACTTGATACTTAATGAATCACTGTCAATGAAGCCTGTTGCTTCATTAGTACTACTCAAAAAAACACTTTTATGTTTTTAGTAGCAGTAATTCAATGCCAAAATAATGCTAAGTTGGAAGATTTTTCATGATTCTACGTAAATGTTCTGCATAGAGAATGTGAACAAGAACAGCACTTTATAGCCTGGCGCATCACATTGTCGGTGAAACCCCAATTCAAGCAAAAGCAACCAAAACACAAAATCAAAAACACCCCAAACACAAAAGCAAGAAAACCCAAAACAAGAAAGTAGCACAGACCTGGTGGAAACCGAGTTCTTTGGTGAGTGGAACACCGAGTTCAGCCATACAAGCCTGCATTCTATCATCAGAGCCGTACAACCCAGGGTACCTTTGAATACACTGATCTTGCATTTTGTCAAGAGCCTTTGCTAATGGATAACTTATTGCAAACCCACCACCACCATAAGCCATACTATAAGAAAAATAAATGTTCTGCAAGTGACTCTCACTTAAGCTCCCAATGTAATAGAACTGATTATGATCATACTTGTTCAATATTCTAACTAAATTCTCGATAGCAAAGACTGTATCATCATCGCCCATCACAAACCACTTCACATTCTCCATTCCTAGCCTTAGTGTCTCAGATACGATCCGAGAAATCCGAATCGCCGACCGGTGACCCTGCCGGTTCTTGTAGGCAAAATGAGAGGTGTTGCCGGAGATTTTTATCGGTGGAAGACCCTCATTTTTGGAGTTGTTTACTGGCTTATCTAGCCATACTATGCCTCTCATTTCTTCGGGTTTCCACCAAAGCTTTATGTAGTTCTTTCTCTTTTCCCAAAGTTTCGCCGAGGCTGCAATGCCGAAAACGATGTCTTTGAGCTCTGTTTTTTGGTGGGTTTTGGGGATTTTTTCACTAGAAAACATGGTTTGATTTTGCAGGAAATAATTTGATGGGATTGTTGAGTTGGGTTTTCCTGATGTTGATGATGAATGTATCAGTACAGATTTTCGATTGGGTTTGCTGAAGATATCATCGTCACAAGCGCGTGAAGACCCAACAAGCTTCAGAGTGTAGACGACGTAGGTGGCGGAGACGAAGAGGATGAGCCAGAGCAAGAGCTTGGGCAAGGCTCGATTTTGTGAGCCAGTGACCGGAATGGCTTTGCACGAGGAGCTTCTCATCTGATCCCAAAGTAGTTTCTCTGAATCTTTCTGGTTCACTTTCATGTTTTGGAGCTAAAGAAAAAATATAGGCCTGAAAAAAGATCTAAGAAAAATGGTTTGGATTTTCTCGTAAAATCTTTGCTTGATTCGGGAGAGACTCATCAGATCTGTGAGATAGAGTAGTGGGTTTTCAATATTTCTCAAGAAAATTTTTAGTGGAGACTGGGAAGACAAAACCAATGCAGATCGACTGAAATCAATCTAAGAAAGAAGAACGGGGAAGAGAGTGGAGAAGGGGGTGTTTCCAGGAAAGAGAAAACAGAGCATCCATTGCTGCCAGCTTGCACACCGTCCTAGATAGAACTGCGAAGAGTCTACTTGTACCTTTGATATTATACGATAATATCTATATATATATATATATATATATATTTATAGACATATAGGTATATTTATATGTTTCATTGATATAATAAATACATGTATATGAATTTTTTCGGTGAGGAAGACCTAGGGTCAAAGTACTTAGATTTCTGAAACATATAGAAGGAGAACATCATGATGTTGATGAGATAATTTCTAGGTGTCTTCTGTCGGTTCAATTGAAGACGTCACTGTGGCTGATTAGTTTGACACTTTGACTCCAAGTTTGATACGTGTAATGCTAGAGAGATACAAATTTACTTGTATTAGTCGATGAATAGAGATTAATACAAATATCTGCAAATTTAAGGTGAATCTAAGACGGATACAGCTATTTCAGAAAATAAAATGTTAATGGGTATAAATGAGTTGTATTATTATTTTACTAAATTAGTTCCCTTTTTTGTTGCCTTAAATGTCTAATAGGAACAAAAAAAAAAAAAAAGACGTGGGATTAGTTATGTGTGGTTGGAATCATTAACAATTAGTTAGCACTATTTTGCATTTATGAATTCTGTTGCATTTATTCGAAAAGGGTGATGCTAAAATAACCATAAATAAGACAAAAAATAATAAACTAAATGATGTGATTCTTTTATAATTATACTTTTAATTTTAATTTTATTTATCATGTCAATTGTCACAGTATTTAATCACTATTTTTAATCTTATGTTTTAGTCTGTATAGCATTATTTATTCAAAATTTTAGTCTCGGAGGTGCGAACCATTACATCAACTAGGGGTGCAAATCGGGCGGGTTAAACAATCAATTTTAGTCCAACCTTAGATATATATTCTTCAACTATAACCCTAACCTTAATCCTACCTCTTCGACCCGAGCACTGTTCGAGTTTAATTCAGGCGAGTTCGGGTTGAACTTGGGTTCACTACAAGAGAGACAGAGAGAGGGAGAAATAATTACAAATTTATAAAACAATCTATATATTTCATTCATAACAGTGCACAATTATTGATCATTTGCTTTCACACCAAAAAACTAGTGATTTCAAAGCACAATTCCAGAAAACATAAAAATTAGACCCATAAAAACATTAAACTTAAAACATCACTCTATCACCACTAATCACGCGTAATAAAGTAGCAAGCAACAAGAAACAGAGGATGATGGAGTAAAATTGAAAAAAAGTGATAATGTTATATATATATATAATTTTAACCCAAATTTAATCCAAGTATTAAAAATTTTATCTCAAATCCTAATTTTCAGATTAGACTCGGATTTAAATTGGGTTGTCCAATCCAAGTTACACCCATAATATCAACACTTGTATCTAATGTTTACTTGGACCAGTAAACTCATCCTCAATCAATTATGGTCATTTAGCCCAATATCCTGGGCCTGTTTAGGCAATTTTATTCTAACCCTGGTTTGAATTAACCCTGTTTTGGGGCTTCTAACCCTGTCCCTCCTAGAGCTTAATAGATGAGCCCAAGGTGGGGCTGCAAATATTGGCCCATAAAATCGTTGCTCGACTGTGACAAAAAAAAAAAAAAATTGTTGCCTGACATGGGTAGAACCACAAGAAATGCTCCCTTGGCCCATGATTATGGGCCTGCTCGGGGTTTCTGGGCTCATTTTGAATCCGTAACAGATAGCATAATAGATGGGCCAAAGGTGGGTTTGCGAAGATTGGCCCCAGAAAGTCGGTTTACAAGACATGGTTAGTATCACGTGCAATCAAGTTCTGGAGAAGAAATTCGGCTCGGCTCCTACTGGTTCTGCTTAGGGATAATAATTTTGGAATCAATACCACAATACGATTCGAATTCGATTGTAATTCGTCACAAACTTAAAAATAATTCGACATATAAACACAAAATATAAACAGTTCATATTCGGATTCAACTTGTTAAATCCGAAATTAACACCATTAATCCGTTTATTTAAGAATTTATACTTTCTCTAATTTTCCTTTGTATGGTACCACGAATAACACGATCAATATGTTTAATTAATATATAGAAATAAAATATTAATTATTTGTAACGGTTTATTAAGTACTGACATAATTAAAAAGAATATTTTTACTCATTATTATTATTATAATTATGTTTATTACATTAATTTTTAGTTCGTAGAAAAACTATAAGCATGAATTTAATTAAGTGAAAATAAATCTTAGCGTTAGATTTTATATTCAAAGTTTATGTGGGTTAACACGAATACGACACAAAAATAAATAAGATAATTTGAACTGACACAATTAGTTAAATGAATTAAGTTAGAGTCGACTAATATTCAACGAGCCCACAATAACTTGATACGATATAACTCGATTGTCACCCTATTGTGTTAGGCCTTCTGTTAAATAACAGCCCTGTTTGATAAAATGTTAAACTGTTCTTTTTTTGACGATATCCGGTTTTGAAAAAGCTAATATTGTTGGTATTGCGAGGAATGTTTTGAGGATTGGTGGGTTTTGGATTCCGTGGGATTTTGAATGCTATCAACAATGGATATTCTTGAAATGGTGAATTTGAGAAAACTATAGAGGTTCGTATGGAAGCAAGGGGTTTGGGTTTGGAATTGAATAAGTTTAGCTTGAATAGTGTGCTTGTTGCAGTGTTTTTATTTTTATTTTTGTTTTAGGGTATTTAGGTTTGTGCTAATTATTCCTTCAAACTCTGAATTGACTATCGTAATAACGGGCCTTTAGAGTGGGCGAAAAGTATCGAATAATATTTGATGTGTAAGAGGGTGAACAAATTTATAAACCCTGTGTAAAGATGGGATTTTCAGTTGAGTGTTAAAATTCTGTTGAGCAATGCACTTATTGCATATGTAAGGCACATTTGAATCGATGCTGTCAAAATGTTTGATGAAATTCCTAACCCAAATGTTGTATTTTGCACAAGAACCCGATAGGTGTGGCCTACGATTGTGTGGAAGCTATGCAAAGGCTCAACTTTTGTTTGTCAAGAGCTATGCAGTTGAGTGTTAAACTCTGTTGAGCAATGCACTTATTGCATGTGTAAGGCACCTTTGATATTGTCAAAATGCTTGATGAAATTCCTAACCCAAATGTTGTATTTTGGACAAGAACCGATAGGTGTGGCCAACGATTGTGTGGAAGCTATGCAAATGCTCAACTTTTGTTTGTCAAGAGCTTTTGAAGTTTCATCAACTTTTGTCCGCCACTGATGTCCAATGGTCTGTACTCTGTGGTTTGTGAATGCACTTCTAGATACTAATATTATTAGGGAAGTTGCAAGATTTATCTGAATTTCATTGTGACTAGTACCTCAGATATTAAGAATTCTGTCTCCTTTTAAAGGGCCTGTGTATGTTGCTGAAAAAAAAGATGCTTCCATCTAATGACTTATGGGTGTACTCAATGCACGATATTTTTATCATTTTTTGTCATTATGGGGCCTGGAGAGGGTTAGATGTACACAATTTTAATCTTACAAACATGAGAGACCAGCCATTGGACGAGTGACTCAGATACATGCAGCTTTCAAAAAGAAGAAAAGAACACCTGATTAGATTTGACTTGGATACATTAACATTTCAGATTATAGGCCAAACTAAACTAAGTTGAAGTNCTCTTACAAGCATGAGAGACCAGCCATTGGGCGAGTGACTCAGATACATGCAGCTTTCAAAAAGAAGAAAAGAACACCTGATTAGATTTGACTTGGATACATTAACATTTCAGATTATAGGCCAAACTAAACTAAGTTGAAGTAGTTTCAAGTCATAATGGATGAAAGTTGGCTCTTCAGCTAATTAACTACACCAGATTCTTCCCATAGAGGTTAGTAATTTGCAGTCTTCCATTCTTCCTGTTCTTTCTGGGTTTAGAAATCCTCCCTTGTTATAGTCAGGTCTCAGGTGACTCAAATTTGTTATTGTTATAGTCAGGTCTCAGGAGTCACAAATTTGTTATAGGTTAGTGTATATCCTTGTGCCTCAAAGAATGAAATACAATGCTTTGTGTATTAATGTTGAATGAGAACAAACTAAAAGAGGACTAAAGGCGCTATGCTATTTTTGTGTCGATATACGATAGTTTATTATTCCGACTCCAAAAAATATTAAGACAAGATTTTGTTAAGTTGAATCGAGACATCATAATTTGTCCATTTCTTTGTAACCGCAAAGGTTCAATCATATGGGTATTGCGTAACTAATCAATCAGTTCAGGTCAGCAAACTATCATCCGCATTTGTAGAGACTGCATTATAAATTTATAATATCATGACTTTAAATCATGNTCCATTTCTTTGTAACCGCAAAGGTTCAATCATATGGGTATTGCGTAACTAATCAATCAGTTCAGGTCAGCAAACTGCCATCCGCATTTGTAGAGACTGCATTATAAATTTATAATATCATGACTTTAAATCATGGGTCCAGCTGCGATACCGTTCTTCTATTTCTCACCTAATAAAAATATTGTACCTCTACTTTATTATTTTTACGATTAAGGGTTACAAATCATTCGCATAAAAACTAACATTTCAGATAAATCTTGGTAGCAGTAACTATAATCTAATCCTTAAAAAATTATGCACATGCAATAAATCCCATCTGTAAACCACATAAAGTTTCAACATACAATCTAAAACAACACTTCAGGAAATTAGATCCCTTTGGCCTACATGCTCCCTTCCA